AATTATTCACATATTAGCCGCCCTTGAATGTAAGCTGCATTTCCGGTGTGGGAGCAAAATTTTAGTTAAAATGGTGCGGCTTATATTCGTGAAACTACTGTAATTTAAATTTATTTATTTTAATTAATTACAGTAATTTCACAACCATAAGGCACACTGGATTATAAGGCATACCTCCAGGAGTCAGCAAATTTCACAACTTTGTGCATTATGTAAGATGCTCCGGACCATAAGGCGCACTTTTTTTTTTCCGTGAAGATCCGTGCTGCACACAACAAAGTAATGAATTAGTAACGGAATCCCGCGATCATGGAGTTTACTGGCAGGTGCTCAATTTGCAAACATTTTTCACAGATTGGCATAGCCTTTAAACACAGCCCCAAGTGCCCTCCCCATGCACAGGGCCCGGCATTCCCACCTGCCTTCAGCTGGTGAGGCGAGGCTTGAGGCGGCTCGGGGCTGCTGTGGCTTGGGTCAGCAACAGCTCACACCTCAGGGTTGCTGCGGTTCAGGGTGGCTCAGGGCCGCCACGGCTTGGGGTAGCTTGGGACCGCGGGCGGCTCGGGGCACCTCGGGGGCGGGCGGGCTTGGATCAGTCCAGCTTTTCCCCTGTCGGGGATGTGCAGGCTCAGATCGGCCCCACTGCCGCCCTTCCGGGCTTGGGGTGGCTCGGGACTGCAGGTGGCTTGGGGCGCCTCAGGGCGGCTCGGAGCCGCCCACAGCTTGGGGCGGTGCGGGGCCGCCCCCTTCCTCTCTCCCCGTGTGGCTGCTGCTGGCCACAGCTGCCTGCTCCCGTCCCCTCTCGCGGCTCGGTGCTCCCGTGGCACTGCCCCCCCCCTCAGGTCGGCTCACGTCTCGCACGTCCAGGTTGGCAAATATCACAACTTTGTACATTATATAAGGCACACCGGACTATAAGGCGTACTTCTGGGTTCAGACCAAAATTTTAGTCAAAAGGGTGTGCCTTATGGTCGTGAAATTACTGTAATTTTAATTACAGTAATTTCATGACCATAAGGCGCATCAGACTATAAGGCGCACCCCCTGGGAGTCGGCAAAATTCGCAACTTTGTAGATCATATAAGATGCATTGGACTATAAGGCGCACTTTTTTTTTCAGCGAGGCTCCGCTCCCAGCTCCCCTCACACGGTTGCTGGCCGAGGCTCCACCTCAACCCAGCAGCCATGGGCCCTGGGCCCGCCTGTACCCAGCACAAGGGGCGCCGCGGGCCCCCAGGCCCGCCTGTATCTGGCAGGGCCGGGACATGCCCGCTGGCGCTCCATACCACCTCTCCAGGGCCGGGCTATGCCCGTCACCCCTCCATACTGCCTCACCAAGGTCGGGGTATGGCTGCCACCCCTCCGTGCCCCCTCTTCGGGGCCGGGCTATGCCTGCCGCCCCTCGTGTCCCCTCCACAGGGCCGGGGCAAGCTTTCCAGGGCTCCTCCCCACCTCCACGGGGCCAGGATATGCCTACCAGAGCTTCTCCCTGCCTCCACAAGGCCGGGGCAAGCCTTCCGGGGCTCCCCACCTCCATAGGGCCGGGGCATGCCTGCCAGGTCTCCTCCCTGCCTCCACAGGGCCAGGCTATGCCTGCTGGGGTGCAGCCCCACCTCCACCTGGCAGCCATGGCCCTGCCAGCTCCCTCCACGGCTCGCAGCTCTCACTTCCAGGTTTGCAAATTTCCAAACTTTGTAGCTCATATAAGGCGCACCTAACTATAAGGCGCACTTCCGGGTTCGGGGGAAAGTTTTAGTCAAAAGAGTGCGCCTTATAGTCTTGAAATTACTATATTATTCATTTTAATTTCTATTTGTCTTATATTAATTTTACTATATTATATATTTATATTTGTATTATAGTTATTATAATTTTAATCCAATATTCTTCCCTTACTCATCTGCCAAGATCATTTTGTATTTTCTAGGATTGTGATATCATCATACTTGACAGGTCACATCTGAAAATAAAAGCATCATAAATTGTCCCATTAGCAGTTAATAAAAATATGAACAGAAGAAATGGATATGGGAATTCTTGAGTCACTACAGAGCTGTGCAACCGGGCAGATTTTTTCAAGTTTGCTATAAAACACTGGGAAGAAGACCATATATAAATTTAAGATGAACCTCAAAATCTGTAAACAAAGAGGAAAGGAAGAACCTGTCTCTCACGGAAACCACTAGGATCCTTTCTATTTCCAGTAATGGAAGTTGTATTGGCTCTGAAATGTAGTTATATTAAATGAGCTATGAATAGAAATATTACTTAGCTCAAATTTCATAAAACATCAATTTTTCCAGCACCAGAGTTAAGAATTAATATTGCTACTAAATAAAGTCTTACTAGATAGTGGAAAATACATCTCATAACTGCTTTATCAGAGTGGATTTTTTTTTTCAATTCACTCATCTGAAACTTACAGAAAAGGATATATAATGAAATAGTTACTGCACAACAAAAGAACTGCTACATATGTTAACTGAATTATTCTCAGCAATCTTCTATGCCTTAAAATAATTTTACTGTGCAATCTAAGACTCTTATTAGGAAACATGCAGCCACAGCTAATGTTTGGAAGAAAACTAGTAAATTTACGTCACTAGCAATCTATTTACAAGCTAATTTCTCTAACCAGTAACTTTGGGTTTGCTGCTAAAGGATTTATTCACCTTACTGGATCATACGCAGCTCAAACTACTGATTTAGGGCATAATACATATATGAAATATGCTAAGTAGTTTTTCTATACATGTGTGTTGGCAATTGTGCACTTACGCAGTCACATATGAAGTATCAGTCCACTGATAGTCAACAAGACTACTCGAGTCCTGTTGTTGAGGGACTTTCCACTGCAACAATAATCAGTAACAGCTCTGAGATTCCTGCAGTGGAAATGTCAAAAGCTATCTTATTTTTTCTTTTCTTTCCTTTTGAGAAGCCACTTGATAATACTGATACATATTCAGATTTGTTACCTAATCCTGGCAAAGCCCTGCCACACACCCTCCGTTTGATTTCAACTATGAAGCCAGAAACATAAGGACCACCACTGAAAACTCTAAATTAAGAGGACCAAGAGCAAAGACTGTAAAGAGCCCGAAACAGTCTTTCTATACTAAAACAAATCACTGCCATCTACTGAAATAGATTCCAAACATTTTTTCATTTATTTGTAAATATTTACACATAGCATGTTTCCCTTGATTGCTTCTGAGTACAACACAGAGAACAGTGCCAAAAGACTTATTTGGTATCTACTCTTACTCTCTCTTCAAGGTCTCTTAGCATATTGCCAAGCAGGGTAAGATTGACTGAAAGAGAATAGTTACTACCTTTTGCTATTCTTTTTTTTCCTTCATTATTAATAGTGAAATTTGATTATTTCTCAGTAAATATCTCAATTAATGGAAGTTATACATAGCACAGCAAAGTTCTGAGCTTGCTTCTTCTCCTTTCAAAAACAAGCACTGTTTAAGGGCTTTCAGTCTTCCAGGACCCCTTTCTCCATAAATATAACTTTATACCTATGACTGAGGTTGTACCTGCCTGCACTTCAGGAACAGTAGTTAGGAGGCAGCACAGAAGGCCCTATCAATTGCAAACATCTAAGTTATCCAGGTGTTATCTAACCTGTATCTTCCCTAGAAAATGTTGAGCACTCGTCTATTTATCTCTGTTATCAATGATTTTATCCAAATTACTGTAGTTACCTTATGCAAAACTTGATGTAAATATTTTTCCCACATTGTCTTTCAATCCCTTTTTCCATCCAAATAATACTTTTTAAATCTTTCTCTTATTGCCACTTTTGTAGAATGACTTCCTCTAACTAGGGATAAAGTGATCTAGCTATGTCTGCTCTGGAAATATGTGGCTATCTTGTTAACAAATACACTCAAATTGCATGTAACAGCTCCTAACAATTTATGTATCAAACATCAAATTCTCTGTGTCATCTTATAGTGCTGAGGCAGTTCCCTGGGAAGCCATTATAGATCTAAGTTCCCCTACACTATGCTTGCATGTAATTAACAGCAAATGGAGTATATTTTATTTGTAGAATAGGGTTTTGGCAATGGATTTCTTCTGCTTTTCTGTATGCGCACCAAATAAATTTGGAATGTCCCACTTTTCTGGAAGGCCAGTTGCATGGGGCTTTGAGCAACCTGATCTGGTGAGTGGGCATTCATGACCATGGCAGCTGGTTTGGAACATGATGATCTTTAGGGTCCCTTCCAACTCAAGCTGTTCTGTGACTGTAGGTATGCAAAATACATCTATTACAGTTGCTGCCTGTGACCATTTTCCTCTTCAATGTGGCAACACATAAAGAAAACTAAGCATAAATGAAATTGGAAGAAAAATTTCTGAATTCAGTAGAGACCAGTTGAGTCAAATGAGCTTCAGTACCCTCTCTTTTTTTTTTCTCCTGGATTTATACAAAATAAGGTTATTTTCTAATTAATTATTCCCCTATATAAAGGTCACATTCAGAAATGTGCCATATCAGATAACTTTTCACCAGGTTCTGTTGAAAAAAAGACTGAAGATATGTAACTGCTAAAGAAAAACCATCATGTTTAACTCTTTAAACCATGGAAGATCACTTGATCAGTATACTAAATAGAAAAAAATAAACAAAAACAAATGTGGTGAGATAGGCTCCCCCTCGTGGTTTTTGTTATCAAAAGTCTTAATTTTCCACACATAGCCCTCAAATTTGCAAGGACTAGTAACAGACAGGCAAGGAAATGTTCTGAAAGGAACTGTGCTCTGCGTAAAAACGTTTTCCTAAATCATCTGTAAATTATCAAAATCAAAAAGTTCTTGATTCATCATTTCTAGGATGGTTAATTAATTAAGCATACTGACAGATCATGGTGCTAGGCATAGACATCCTGTTAAAGGCAACCAAATTTAATTGTGCTTATTGTTGCATTTGCTGGAGTTACAATGGGTTTTGGAAACCACATGTTCAAGGCTTATTACCAGTTCTGCATTGCTCTTTCTCTTGCATTAATGAGGAGGTTTGTCAATTCCCCTTCTTAACTCTAGGCTTTTTTTTCTTCAAAAGAGGAGATAGGTTTTATTAGCATTGAAGTTGCTATGTTATTTTATTTTATTTCTCTTTTTTTTGGAACTGAATTTCCTCACATTTATAATACTATGGACCAGGAACACTCTTAGTTTGCTATAAAAAAAGGTGTAAGTAAGAGAAAAGATGGCCAGTGGTTAGCCTCATGCATCCAAATGAATTGTTCTTTGCACCAGCTGTAAAAACAGGATAAAAAAAATGTACCTTAACAGAAGTGCTGCAGGGTTAGTTAATCTCTATTTTAATTTAAAAAAAAAACATAAACAAAAACAAAAAAACTAATTTATGATACAAATACAGACAAAGGTAACTATTTCAGTTCAGTAAAATAGGTCCCTAAATGACTTAGGTAAAGAAATACCCTTAATGAAGATCAAAAATTCTGATCTAGGTCTTGGCCTACAATTGAAAGACTTGTGCCACTGATTTCTCAAACATGACAGTTTAGATTTTTTGCAGTATGACTGCATATGAAAGTTGCTGTAATTACCCAAATTCTATTTCACTCCATGTAGAAGACAAGAGTTTCTGATATGCCAAAACTAGTAATACAAGATACTAATATTAGCAGGCAATGCTTCTCCTATTCAAATTCAGTATTAAATGGGCAGATTTCTTCACATACTTATTTACAGAATACAATAATATACATTAC